GTCAGGACACCCTCTATGTATCAATTCTCTGTATAGTGCCCAAGTTCCGACTTAACTATGAGACAAGGCTGCCTTCCTCATCCCATGGGATATGATTCACGTTATTGATATGACCTTGTACCCCTGTGTGGACTCCTCTTTCTGCCAGGTTCTCTCCCTCTCAATACCAATGCCTTGGGCACTCTTCTTGGCATTCCTCACTGGCTTTGTGCCACGGCTGTTCTCTCCTCTCCAGGTACATTTACATTGAAATGTAGAAATAAAGATGAAAGAAAGAAAAGGAAAGAAGGAAGGAAGGGAGGGAGGAAGGAAGGAAGGAAGGAAGAAAGAAAGGACAAGAGAAAACTAAAATTCTAATTAAAAAGCAGAGACAGGGCTGGGGTTGTGGCTCAGTGGTAGAGCGCTTGCCTAGCATGTGTGAGGCACTGGGTTTGATCCTCAGCACCACATATAACTAAATGAAATAAAGGTCCATTAACAACTGAAAAAAAAAATCAGAGACAAACCATCTGCAGAAGAAAATTCTCAGTCACTGGCTAAAATTTGTTTAGGTTTTCATCCCAAACCTGAAGGAAACATAACCACATAGAAAACTCAGAAAACATCCAAGAGAAAATGGATCCAAATGTATAAGCACAGGTTCAGGACTTCCTTTCCTTCTAGGAATTCATAGGAACAACAGAAAAATACTATATTAATTCCAAAATCTCTAATTGTACCTAAATAGGAAGGGATAATCAGTAGATAGAAATTATGTGAAATCTCTAAAAGAAGGCATATGTGAAAAAAGACTGAAAGAAAATAAGTTCTAAAAAAGGCCTTGGGCAAAAAGGAAAGAGTGGCTACATAGGCTGTCCAAGCAGCTGTCTTTGGTTGCTGCAGGGCTGATTGCAATGTACTAACCAAGTCTCCAGGGAACCAGGCAGCTGGCAAGAGAGGGCTTGTGTCCAGGTGGCCCTCTCTTGAGAGTGTGCTGAGGAGGAGTGGCAGGGCCTTAACCAGGAGACTGATATATCACCATGAGCCTGCCTCAAACCTCCCTTGTAATCCTCAGAGTCAGGGACATGGCAATTATCAACCAGCTGTGGGGACACCCAAACAAGAACCATCAAACTTTGGAAAGCAACAGCATGAAAAAAACCATCCCTCAACCCCATAAGCGGAAACACAATGGCCAAGGGAAAGTCTTAAGAAAGGTTTAAAAAGTGAATTTAATATGCTCAGTGGACAGAGGAAAATATCTCAAGTATGAAAAAAGCAAACCATTATTTATGGACCTTAGGAAAAATGCTTGTCAAAATTAACAGATGGGATGAGTAGCAAAAAGGACATCTAAAGTGGAGATCAGTGAGTGCAATGTTTGACATGAAGAATAATCCTGGATGGCAGCACAACAGGGCAAAGAAATGAAAAGGTTAGAGAAAATAAGCAGTGATCCAGAAGTTTCTGTCATGGTTGAGTGTCTGTCCCTGAGAAAGAAAGTACAGAAATGGATGGCAGCAACATTACAGCGTGAATGACTCCCAGAGCTTATAGGTAAAAGAAAACAGATGGACAGCCACAGAGGTTGCAGCACAGTGTCATTACTGAGGAATATAAAACACTCCAAAAGTTAAAGAGGAGGAGAAAGCAACAAATTACCAACTAGGGAATAAGTTTCAGATTGCTGTCTGCTCTCAGCAGCAACATGGGGTCCAAGGAGAGAGTGAAGCAACACCCTCGTGCTCTGATAGAAAATATATTTAAGCATCGAGTGATATGCTATCTCAAATGCCATTCAAGCACAAAAGCAGAGTAGAAGGCATTTTTATTAATTTAGAGACTTCTTTATTAATTCACAGTTTGGTTTGTAACTGTCAGCTCCTTCAGGGGTCACTTGGGTGGCAGAGAGCCTGCCTTGTCTGAGGTCAAAGCCCTTCCATATGCCAATTACAGTGACTGATCCAGGTGAACAGAGACCTGGGAATTGAACTCTGGTTGGAGCAATTTTTTGCTGGGTCATTTCATCCTCATAGCTTCATATGGTACCTGCAAAGCTTAGTAAGGGAGTATGATGAACAACTATACAGCCATTGATTTGATGAAATGCATCAATTCTTTGAAAAGCAAAAACTACCAAACACTTGACCAAGATGAAACAAATAACCTGAGTTATACTACAGCCATTAAAAAAAATTGGATTTAAGCTGAGCATGGTGGCATATCTGATACCAAGACCAGTGTTACAATAGAAAATTATGGACCAATGTGCCTCATGAACGTAGAAGCAAACAAAACAAAACGAACAACAAATTATCATCAGATCCAACTTTGCAACATATCCAAAAGCATCTCTCTCACACACCCCATGAATGGGGATTTATTTCAGATATACAGTGGGGTATGATGATCTAGACCCTTATCCCTGGGGAATCTCATTCTTTGGTTGCGCTTCTTAGGCCATAACTAACCATATAGGTTCATCTACCATTACAATTGAGGGTAAGGCACCAAGAGATCTTCCAGTGACTCACTCAAAGGGTATTATCTGCCCCCAGAGTATAGCCCACCCCATCCTAATGATCAGGGTTATTATTCCTGCTAATATGGTGACTCCTTTTAGTACTAGCACATTTCTTGGCAAAAGGAGGCTGATGTGAACAGGTCCTAGTCATAGCTTTAATGCTCTCTCTCTGGCAGAGATGCTAGTCAAAGATGAAGGAAATCTAGAAAGGGTGGTAGATGACTCCGGTGGGGGGAGAAAGGAGTGTGAGTAATGGCCTCAAGGTCAACTATAGTAGTGGAGACTTCAGTGTGTCTCTCTGAGATGTTCTCTGGAATCTTGAAGAAGCTATTTTAAAGTGGTGAAAACTTAGTACAGGAAGCAGGTAGATCTGAGTGGCATAAAGGGATGGGTCACAGAAGATGTGTGGATGTAGTGGATCCTTGCTGAATAGTGGGTGATGCATCCCACAAGTGTTGGGAATACTGGCTGCTCTTGGGTCACTGCTCTCTCTTCCTGAGAATTGCCTTTGGCCACAGGGAAAAGAGTTGACCAGTTCTGTCTTCTCCTCAGGCGAATACTGCAGGCAGTGACTGGCTTGTGATTACTAAGGGTTGACTTATGTCCCCACAGAAAGATATGTTGAAGTCCTAATTCCCAGTACCTAAGAATGTGACCACTACAGTTTGGATCTGGAATGTCCCCTGAAGGCCTAACACAAAGGTGTACTCCCCAACTTGGCACTACTGGGAGGTAGTGAAAAGTATAGGGGTGGGGGGCAGTGAAAGTTTTTTTGGGGGACTGTGGAACCCTAGTCTCTTTCTCTCTTTTTTCCTCAGCTGTAAAGTGGGACTAATGTCACTCCATTGTTATTCCCATGGACAGTGGATTCTGGTGATGAGGGCCTTGCCTCTGAAGCCAGACAGATGAAGGCTCTAAACTTATGCAGGTCTCACAGGGTCTAGCCAACACTTTCATCTTCAAATGTATGCTTCCAGAAACTTCCCTGTCCCACACATTTTGTCCCCACTATTTCCCCCATCCTCTGTCTTCCTCACCCACTCACCCCAGTAACTTCACACCAACATGCTCCCCAGCCTCAAATGGCCTCCTTTCCTTCCCTGCTTTCTCCTTATAGATCCACACAGGCTTTTCCCTTAGGCACCCTGTACATTCCAAATGCATGTCTCAGTGACCCCTTGGACTGTGACTTTGAGGGGAAATAATGTCCAGGTGGGTCTTTAGAGGTTGGGTAGAGGTGGGTCTGTTGAGCTACCGGTCATCCATCCAATTGTGACCTTGATGCCCTCCAAGACAGTGAAAGACAGAAAAGCACTTGAACCCATTTGTATATACAAATAAGTGCTTATATTTGGGTCATCTTTTTCTTTTTTTTTAATTAAAAATTTTTAAATTCTAATTTGTTATATATGACAGCGGAATGCAATTCAATTCATATTACACAAATAAAGCACAATTTTTTATGTTTCTGCACACAAAGTAGAGTCATACCATTCGTGTTTTCATACATGTTGTTAGGGTAATGATGTCCATCTATCTCATTCCACTGTCTTTCCTACCCCATGCTCCCTCACCTCCCCAGCCTCCCTTTTGCCCTATTTAAAGTTTGTCTATTCCTCCCATGCTTCCCGCCCGCCATCCCCATTATGAATCAGCATACTTATATCAGAGAAGACTTTCGGCATTTGGTTTTTTTGGGATTAGCTTACTTGACTTAGCATTATATTCTCCAACTCCATCCATTTACCTGCAAATGCCATGATTTTATTCTCTTTTAAGGCTGAATAATATTCTATTGTGTATATATGCCACATTTTCTTTATCCATTCATCTACTGAAGGGCATCTCAGTTGGATCCACAGTTTAGCTATTGTGAATTGTGCATCGATGGGGCTATGTCCCTGTAATGTGCCGGTTTTTAAAGTCCTTTGGGTATAAACCAAGGAGAGGGATAGCTGGATCAAATGGTGGTTCCACTCCCAGTTTTCCAAGGAATCTCCATACTGCTTTTCATTTGGTTGCACCAATTTGCAGTCCCAAAAGCAACATAAGAGTGTGCTTTCCCCCACATCCTCACCAACACTTATTGTTGTTTGTCTTCATAATAGCTGCCATTCTGACTGGAGTGAGATGAAATCTTAGAGTAGTTTTGATTTGCATTTCTCTAATTGCTAGAGATGTTGAATATTTTTCATATATTTATTGATTGATTGTATATCCTCTTCTGAGAAGTGTCTGTTCAGGTCCTTGGCCCATTTATTGATTGGGTTATTTGTTTTTTTCAGTGTTAAGATTTTTGAGTTCTTTATATACCCTAGAGATTAGTGCTCTATCTGATGTTTGTGTGGCAAAAATTTGCTTCCAAAATGTAGGCTCTCTATTCACCTCACATATTGTTTCTTTTGCTGAGAAGAAACTTTTTAGTTTGAATCCATCCCACTTATTGATTCTTGATTTTAATTCTTGTGCTGTAGGAGTTTTATTAAGGAAGTTGGGGCCTAATCTGACATGATAGAGATTTGGGTCTACTTTTTCTTTTAATAGGCACAGTGTCTCTGTTTGAATTCCTAGGTCCTGATTCACTTTATGTTGAGTTTTGTGAGAGAGATAGGGGTTTACTTTTATTTTGTTGCATATGGATTTCTAGTTTTCCCAGCACCATTTGCTGAAGAGACTATCTTTTCTCCAATATATATTTTGGTGCCTTTGTCTAATATAAGATAACTGTACTTATGTGGGTTTTTCTCTGTGTCCTATATTCTGTACCATTGGTCTACATGTCTATTTGGTGCCAATACCATGCTGTTTTTGTTATTATAGCTCTGAGTATAGTTTAAGGTCTGGCATATTGATGCCACCTGCTTCACTCTTCTTGGTAATCATCTTTTTATTCATCTTGATTTACTTCACTTACTAGATCTTGTGCACCCTTCTATATTGCTATCTAGAGAACAAACTCATTCTAATTGTTTTTTAGTATACCACTGTTTCAATCAACTGAAACCCATTTAATGAACATCAGCCAGGTGATAATGAGTATCATCATATGCTTTTGTGTCAATCACTATTTGGAGTGTTTTTATTTTTAATTTTTGAGGTACTGGGAATTGAACCCATGACCTTGTGACATCGCCAGCCTTTTTCAAATTTTATTTTAAGGCAGGGTATTACTATGTTGCCTGAGCTGGCCTCAAACTTGCCATCTCACTGCCTCAGACTCCCAAGTTGATGGGATTATAGGCAAGTGCCGCTCCATCTGGCTTGGGGTGTTATTTTTGTAGATATTTGGCAGAAAAGGACAGTTCTTCTGGGCTTCTCTTAGAAGGGCTCAACTGTTGGAAGCCATGCTGGTGCCTGCGTCATAGGTGCCCTTATGACATCACCATAAACACAGCCTTTTCTCTACTCCCCCCACCCCCACTCTTTCACTGGAGCTTTGGCTGGAGGGCAGACCGGAGGGTGATGGAACCATCTAGCCCACAACTATGGGTAATTTAGTAGAGTACAGACCTGTGGGGGTTTGACCATCCATCCCCTGGTTAGGGACATTAATTGTTTTTTTTGGTGGGGGCCGGGGGAGTACTGAGGATTGAACTCAGGGGCACTCAACCACTGAACCATAGCGCCCCATTTTGTATTTTATTTAGAGACAGGATCTCACTGAGTTGCTTAATGCCTTGCTTTTTGCTGAGGCTGGAATTGAATTCATGATCCTCTTGCCTCAGCCGCCTGAGCCACTGGGATTATAGGTATGCAACATCGTACCCAGCACATTCATTGATTTTTTTTTTTTATAATGTTAGACCAACCATGCAAAGAAAAGACCACCGGACTCCAATTGGAAATCAAATTAAAGCAAGCTTATAATTTCAACCGGCAGGGCTACCTCTCTCAACAAAAACCGTGGGAACAAAAGCAGCCCCACAGCTCTCCAGGAGCACAGCTTTATAGCCCAGAAAGTTACACAAAGGGGGGTTTGAGAACTTACAGATAACAAAAATCTGATGAGCATAACACAAAGGCTAGTTTATATTTTTGCTGGCCCCAACATCAGAATTTATGAAGGTTGTCTTTATGAAGGTCATTAGAGCCTCAGAGAGGGTTATTATCTGGCCAGGGAAGGCCAAGGTTTATGAGGCATCATTAAATTTCAGAGAGGGTTATTATCTAGGAAAGCCAATCATGGGTGAGTTCAAGGCACAGGCAGGCATTCCAAGCAAGTTTAAAAATCGCAGTAATTTATAGTAAAGCCAAAATTAGCTTTTCATGCCTTTGTGGTGAGATGGCTCCTAATCTTAAGAGGGAATTAGTCTGGGTTTATCATATAATACTTTTATTTTTTAAATTGCTTTTATTTTTTTAAATTCATGTCAACAGAATGGATCACAATTCTTATTACACATATAGAAACACATTTTTTCATATCTTTGTATATAAAGTATGTTCACACTAATCCATGTCTTCATACATGTACTTTGGATAATGATGTCCATCACATTCCACCATCATTGCTAACCATTCGTTGATTTTTAACAGATGGATCCATCCAAACTTTCTGAGAGGGCAGGGTAAGTTTCCTGTAGTTTCTTTGAAAGGGTATTCCCTCTTCGTGTCTGGAGTCCTGGGAAAGGTGTGGAAGTTGGGGTTGTGGTTGATTTGACATCTGGTGATAGGAGAGCACCTTTTACCTTATCCTGTGTTTTCCCCCTGAACTCCAGTGTAGAAAGACAACAACCCATTTTAAATTATCATCGAAGAGGATGATGAAATCACATTGATAGAACAGAACTTGAGGAAGCAGAGGAGAGAAGAGGGAATCAACTCCACACATCTCCTCACTCACTACCCTGCTGCCTCTATACCATGTTCACTACCTCCCTAGGTCCTTAATTCCTAAGGTAGCTAGGTCTAGGTTTTGCTGTGGACATCTCTGACCTTCGAAGTCCAGTGGCATGACTCAAAGACCTGAGAATGTTATTTATTGTCCAAAGATATGTTTCACTGAGAGGGACACTTGCTGTCATTATGCCAAGACACCAGGCATAAACCCAGGCCATCCCACGCAAACTGGGGAAAATGGCTGCTGTACACAGAGCTGGGATGAACAGAGATTGTCTCCTCCTTCTCCTCTTATTCTTTTCTCCATTTCACCCTTAAGCAGAGAGAGAGTTGGGTCTGGCTGAGATAAGGAGCAGGGAGTGTGGCAAGGAGTGTAGACCCAGGCCACATAGGGTTGGGAGCTGTCGTGGGGCTATGTTTAGGAATGCAAGGGCCAAGGTGTGGGAAGCCAGGTTTTAAAAATGTGTGTGTTAGTGTGGATGAATGTTTGTTTGCACCCATGTATATGTTAACACATGTTGAACCTGTCAATAACATAGTGAGGTGGAAGAATCTTTGACTACTTTGGTGAGGCAGAGGGGACACAACAGTTTGTGGTTAAACAGCTCAATGGCTAACCTGTGGATAGGCCAGAACTGGGGGTCTAGCTACAGTGAGGGGGTCTATCCTATTCCCTCTATCAAAATATCATTGTTGGAGACCATCGTGGTTGTCAGAGGCAGGGTGCAGGGCAAGCCAAGAGGGGTGGGAAGGATCTGAAGAGATGGTCATGGATTCCAGATAAGTTGTCCTGTCCAGGTGAAACTTGAAGCTCCTTTACTTCTAAATCATGATATTCTTGCTCTAGACTGGCCAACTAAATGAGGAAAAACTGGGTGAAATAGCTAGAGTAGACAAAACCCCAATTTTACAAACAGTGACATTTAGACTCAGAGGTCAATGGGATGCTTCCATGTCCATCAGCCAGAAACTAGCAGAAACAGGACACCTACCTGGTCTCTTGGGTCTAGCTGTGGCCATGCCCAGTGCTCCTGAAATCTTAAGGAAGTGGCCATTGTTGATACACATGCGTGCTCCTGGCACACCCTGAGTTTCCTAAGTGTCCTAAACCTTCTCTGCGTTCTCTTGCCAGGCTCCAACGACGACGCCGTGGATGAGAAGGTCATCATAAGCACAGAGGATACTGCTGCTGTGTTCATCCAGGCCTGGTGGCGAGGCACGTTGGTGCGACGCACACTGCTGCATGCTTCCCTCAGGGCGTGGACCATCCAGTTATGGTGGAGGCAGATACGGGTGAAGCTCATGGAAAATAGGCGGCGTAATGCGCTGGATTTCTATGCGCGGAAAGAGTGGGCAGTCGTCACGCTGCAGGCGTGGGTCCGAATGTGGCGCATCCGCACACGATACTGTCGATTGCTAAATGCTGTCCGCATCATCCAGGTTTATTGGCGTTGGCATAGTTGTCATACCCGTGGTTTTATTCAGGGAGACTATGCTCTCAAAGAAAACCAATTGAATATTCAACTTGAAATCTCTCTGGGTTCACAGGCTTGTAAGGTGCAACAACACATACCCCTTCCATTAAAAGAATGATCAGGTCTGCTCTATCTGCGTTCTCAGCTGTCTTTTTATTTGACATATTTCCAGGAGGTCATCGTTGGAGCTTATGATGGCAGATACTGTAGGCAACTCACAAATTCAGCTTTGGGGAATCAGCGGGGGTAGTCTGGTTACAAGTGAATAACCCTTTGCAGAGCCTAGCCTTGTGTGCCGCAGTTGGGGAGACACCCAAGTGGATCAATGCTAGGGAGACTATGTAAATAGTGCTCCTTGTGGCCCCTTGGAGTTTTGCATCATCCTTGGCTCTTTTTTTGGGGGTACTGTTTTCTAAGACTTATTTAAAGAATTATGGTAAAACATAAAAGTTTACCATTTCAACTGTTTTAAAATGTACAGTTCAGCGACTTAAGTTTAATCACCCTGTGATATCATTACCACCAGTCATCTCCAGAACTTTTTGGGTTTTGCAAAACTGAAACTTTGTACCCATTAAACACCAATTCCTCATCCTTCCAGCCCCTTGCAACCATTATTCTATTTTTTTTTTTTTTTTGGTGGGGCATACTAAGGATTGAACTCAAGGGCACTCGAACACTCTGCCACATCCCCAGTCCTATTTTGTATTTTATTTAGAGACAGGATCTAATTGAGTTGCTTAGTGCCTCCCTTTGGCTGAGGCTGGCTTTGAAATCGTGGTCTTCCTGCCTCAGCCTTCTGAGCCTCTGGGATCACAGGCATGTTCCACCACCGCACCCAGCTTCACCATTTTATTTTGTCCCTAAATTTGACTAATCTAACTGACTAATCTAGATCACTCATAAGAGTAGAATCATCCAAATTGACTGCTTGCTTCACTTACTGTAATGTCTTCAAGGTTCATCCATGTTGTAGCATGATTTTCCCTTTTAAGGATGCATAATATTCCTCTGAATGCATACACCACTTATTATTTAGCTATTCATTTGTCAATTGTTATTTGTGTTACTTCCACTTTTTTTCCTATTTGAATAGTGCTACTATGAACATGGGTATACCAATATTGCTTCAAGTTCCTGCTTTTGGTTGAGCATGGTGGTGCATGTCTGTAATCCCAGCTACTTGGCAAGGCTGAAGCAGGAGTATCACAAGTTCCAAGCCAGCCTGGACAA